AAAAACCCATAAAATTCTATTGTTGAAACAAAAAGTACTAAATTTAGCAAAAAATGCCTGTCAGAAACCCGTTGCCATGGCAACACAAAAAATTATTATCTTATTCCAATGATAGAGAATTGTTGCCAACAATATTTTAGGAAAAGTCACCAAGTTTGGTCGTTCTACGGCTAGCCGTTCGGACGCTAGGTGACATCAAAGTTGCCGCGGGCACTTTTAGCCCCCCCCCCGGTCTAGGTAGGGTTAACTTGATTAACAGGCTGCACAGAGCATTTCCACCTGCACAGAGCATTTCTTGCTGATTGGCTGTTGGGATTTAACTTGATTAACACCTGCACAGAGTATTTCCATACTGACAGTATGTCTTATTCAAGTGTTTTGGTAGGTATTTCAAGCTTTTCTGCTCCAGCATTGGAATGCGGGGTCATGTAACGTTTTTTTTTTTATTTTGAAAATCAACAGTTTGCATTATGCAATTAAAAATCCTAACCAATAAAGTAGGGAATAGCTATCCAACTGTTGTTTTAGTTGTATGTTACTTCATATTATAGTTATATCAATGTAAATCATTGTTTTCCCTTGTGTTTCTCATTCTTTCCCTGCCATGTGGTAAAATGTGGTGAACCCATCGCTGTATTTGCTCCAAAGCAAATATTGGCCTTTCTAGTTATTTATTTTTTATTTATTTTCATTTTATTTTTTATTCTGTTTTATTTTATTTCATTTAATTTTATTCTATTTTATCCGTTCTATGCATTATCAAACTTCTCCTCTACTGCTAGAGCTACTAAAACTTCAGACCGAATATATTAAACATTTTAATTCGCCCCCTCTAGCGGTTTGGGCCAAATTGCAGCTTTCCAAAAAAATCCAAGATGGCAGCGGCAGATCGGGCCGATTGCCGATTTCATTGTATTTTCCTTGGTCTTTTACGCGATTCAAGCAAAGAAAACAAGTTGACCACAAGAACAAAAGAGTAATACAGCACTGGGAATCTAATGGTCCGTTTTGTTGGGCGGTAATTTCTCATTTCAAGTGAATATTTACGTGCGTCACAGTGATTTATTCACCAATCAAAAGCGACATCTTGCGACTTAAGCAAATATGGAAGGTTAATGTACATAATTTATGTCATTGATTTATTGGTCCAATTACAGCAGCTATTAGCGAAATTCTAGAACATTAAATGCATACTATGATATAAAACAATGGTTTTGTGGTAAACAGCATTTCCTCTTTTTTAGCAACTTCGTTGTATCAGAATAACGACACTATCATCCGGTAGGTCGACACCACAAAGTAAAGTATACATGCAGAGTAATTGGTTTCATTGGTTTTCACGGTCGAAATCAACATTTATCCAGTCATCCAAGGTACCTATTTTTGAGCACAATACCTCGGCCGCTCAGGCGGCCGAGATAAAAAGTGTGCTTAAAGATATTTTTACTGCAACATACCCTAGGTATGTACATTTGATGTGTGAGAAGTCGATACCAAAAGTATGTTGCAGTAAAAATATCTTTAGGCACACTGTTTCTCAAGGTGGCGATATCATGGACCCTGGTGATATTATGGACACAGATGTTACTGGTTCACTGGACTTGGATCCGGACTTGTAAGAATGTTTAGGTTCAAGTCCAAAAAAAACTAAAAGTCAAGAAATCCGGACTTACATTGTATTACCATAAAAGACCATTTCACATACCCCTTTTCTTTCCAAACCACCTAAAACCAGAAGTTCCGTAGATTGCAAAATCTTTGCTGCAAAATGAAGAAAACTTAAATGCCATCGGGCATCGTCAAGTACCATCCTCCATGTTATGTGGCCAAAGTTTCACCCAGACAACATTGCAAGGTTGCCAAGTTGAACATGCAATTTTGTATATGCCATGGGTTTAAAGGTCCGGACTTACGAGTCCGGAACTGAACCTAAACCTCTGGACTTGAATCCGGACCTGAACCTAAATGTGGGTTTAGGTACCGTACTACGCAGCACTAGACTTCAGAATTCAGGGAAGTATTGCTAGTTTTTGTAACCTCCAAACCCACAGAACTCCGGGAAGTGTTTTTATTTTTGTTAAAATGTTGTGCTTCCAGTTTCCTGTGTCAGTCTTGGTCAGGGTTGGTACATGTAGGTAGGGATTATCTTTTTTTTTTTATTCCTTCTTTTTTTTATTAGGCTTTGGCAATCTTTAGGCATCCAACTTGTGGTCCAACATATAACGTTACAATGCAGTTTAACAAAGTAAAACTTGCATGAGGACTCTTGTATTTTCAATGTCAATGTTTGGAAACTGATTGTATAACAGTTCATAACTCAGATCGATTAGCTTGAAAAATTTATATCTCTTGCACAGGTCCACCCCCAAAAAAAGGCTGGGGTCGGCAGTTTTTTCTAGTGTTGGTCGGGAACACATACGTACAGGAAAAACAACATTTTTATTCCCAGGCCTAATGAAATAGAAAAGAACTGTGGAGGGGATTGTACATGTATGATGTAATTCAATCTGGCATTACACCTGTCCACTTCCTGAATTCCACCAAATATTTCAAGCTCAATCCCCTCGGCACGTGCAGGGTCACCTTCAAGCATAACCTCCCTATCAATCAACTGTCAAAATCACGTCCCACCCACCATAGAACAGAAGCTAATAGGACAAGCAGAGACTTTTTCTGCAATGTTTTAATAGGGTTGTACATAGTTTCACCAGTAGTGAATGTTAGGAAATTATGGTGAGTTTCGGTGGTTTCTTTTAAATAGCGCTTATCTTTCCTGATCATTTAAGGCTAGAGCAGTTGGAGATAAAATTTTTATAAATGTATTTTGCCCTTCACCACCTTTGACATATAGTTAAGTTACAAAAACTGTATATACAATTGAAATACCTGTGGTTCTTCCTCATCAGCTGTGTCTGGACACACATTCTGGTTGATCCAGTCTCTGGCTGCCTCCACCAGTGTAAACACCATGGCCATGCCAACACTCTCTTCTGCCTGGAGCAATACATGTAAAAATGTTATGAACAAGAAAAATACCTTTATGATATAGAAAATTTTGAAATCCATAAAGCTATAACACAGCTAAGAATCAGCAGTCACAAACTGAATATAGAAACAGGAAGATATTACAATGTAGCCCCTGACCAAAGATTTTGCCCATTTTGCCCACAGAAAATTGAAGATGAATTTCATTTTATCATGGAATGCTCTAGATATGATGTCCTACGTGATATATATAAGCTATTCAAATACCTCACTTCAAATACGACAGATTTCAATAGACTTGTTGCTACAGATAGATTTGATTATATATTTAAATGCAACAGCCCACACAATGCAAAAATAGGTAAATACATAAAAGACTGTTTTGTTATTAGAAAGAATACTGATTTGCTGTCACATGTACTAGTTAGTACCCATAAATAACTTCGCCTGATTGTAAAGCCTAAGCTAACTTTTGATTATCTCTTTTCTATACATAAGTTGTTAAGTTTTATTCTATACCTATCTATTTTACTATGCCACTTATTGTTACCTATTTGCCATACAATGTACCCTGTACAATTGTCGTGCAATAAAGTTCTTCATGTAAGACACTAGTGCTGTTTACTGGTTCGCTGGACTGGTTTTGGACTTGTTAAATGTTTAGGTTCAAGTAAAAAAAAAAAAAAGCTAAAAGTCAAGAATCGATTCCGAACTTAGGCCACACCAATTTCATTTCTTGGTTAACGGATTTTTCTAGAAAAATAATGGAGCGGGCGGGCGAAAAAAAATAAAAACAAGAAACCATAGGCGACAACCCTCCGTGAAGTTTTATATATTGCAACAGAGAAGTAACCATTGGCGACAATTCTCTGTGAAGTGTGATACTTTCTGATTGGAAGCGTGTTGCTGACCCTGGTGTTACCTTGCTGGTTCGCTGGTAAGATGAGCCAAAAGTTGGTGGCACTAAACCCTAAAACGCAACAACATCAATTCCAACGTCCGGATTCTGTATTCGAATTTTCGAAAGTGGCGCTCGCGGTTAGGGCGAAACGCGTTCTAATTGTTTTATGGAAGCCATGGAAGCGTTCGATAATGGGTTCTGGACCGGGCCGTACCGTAAAGTACGGCCCGGTCCGGAACCCGTTATCGAACGTTATCGCGGCCCGGGTATGATATAAAGCTTATTATGTCACGAATAAGTGGTGTAAGTTTGTTCCCCCAGCAGCTTGTTCTTGAACTGCAGGTTAGTTCCTGGTAAAAACTTCTTAAGCCAATAAGTCAAGATAGGAACAACGTATTTTCATAATTTTTGGTGTGTAGGTAGCTGAGAGAGAGTTGTACTTAATTAAATGCAAATTATGCAAATGAGGCCTTGCATAATTAAGGAGGAAATTCTATAATTACTGTGTTTTATATAATAATACTTTAATTTATACATGTAATCTATTTAACCTGCGTCAGACGGAACATCAACAGATACCAATTATGCAAATGTGACCTAATTTGCATAATTGCATTGGTGAATGATGGGAATTTTATACCTTGTGACATGTGTAAGTTACTTGAAGGTTAACACCACTATGCATATATTATGTTAATGTGGGGGTCATTTGCATAATTAATGAGGACATGCTGAAATAAAGTTTGACAAAGGAGAGGAATTTCACACGAAAAGTATTGTCATTTGAATTCAGAAAACTTGATTATGAAAATAGATTATGCTAATTACGACCTTATTTTCATAGTCAATGAGACAATTAAAAAAACCATTTACAAAAACCTCCATGAATATATTTCATGGAGGTATGAAATCTCCGAATTCTTGTTTTAACATGGCAACAACATGAGGACTTAAAGCTAAGCATGTTTATTCACCTACATGTACTGCAGACACTTTCATCTGTGTATGATCAGGCGAATGAGACGAGATTGCTGTTATTTATCGACGCCCACACAAAGTTGTTCTTTAGGAACTTAAATCAATATTACAGTAAAATGTTGAACTTTATTCCATCACAAGGGTTACACAGACATCAAATGTTCATCGACCACTGTCGCCTTCTGGGGGGAGGGGGGTTAAGTCGGAGTGCTAACCTCCTAGTGGAATTCCCCGGGCAATGGCTGCTGCAATGACCCTGTGTTGCGGTTCAACCATGGTGGAACGATTCCCAGGGGAGCTGCTGCAGGCTAATAGCACCCTCAACTTGTCCTTTTCCAGGATTTTCCTTCATCAGGATAAAGACATTGACATGAAATAGACATTGATGATGATAACAATGATAAGTCTATTGCAAACATTTGCCAGTGCATGGCCACCAGGAGTTATAAAATGATTAACAGTTATCATCGGATATTAAAAAAAATGTATGCACAACACAAAGAAAAACATAAAGCACCTTCGAAAATATCTCACAGCTTTTATTGTCAACACGATTTTATACATGGCAGCTCATAGTTACATACTGTAATTCACTTTATTTTCACTGTAGCAAAATTTCACGGTCTGAGAAAAATGGGGATGTTCACTGTACTATACATTCACGGTGGTGACAGGTGCAGGAAAAAGAAGGTTCAGGAATTACCTGTTGACTGTAATGATAAGTTCACGGTACAGAAGTGACAGTGAAAACAGTGAACATAAAAGTACAGTGAACAAATCAGGAATTACAGTATTCTATATTAATCTTGGACATTGGCAGGAATTGTGTTCTTATTTACAAACTTTATCAAACTATACTTTGTGTTGCACTGGATTGGCCCATTGTTCGGTCACATATTAACTATATACCAAACACTGTATATTGATTATTAACAAAATTGCTCTTCTTTTCGTGTTGTTGTTTTGTAATACAATTGCTTTATTCTAACAAATAAAATTAAGTTCAGATTAGATAAAAACTTAATATTGCTTACATCCGTACATATGATAAATGGAGGAAGGACTGTCGATAGTATGAAGATACAAAGTAAATGGAATGCACTCTCAAATCTATATCATCTATATGTATCTGTATTTACCACAATCAAGAAGTTATTAGATAGCCAACAGAAAAGTGTGCTTTAGTCTACAATATATATAATTAGTCTCTATTTTAGTTAAATACACAGTGTGTTGTTTTGTGGATTGAACTTCCCTGGCAATAAAATCTGAGAGATGCTGACGACAGAACAACAGTAAATTCATTTACATGGTCAGTTTCTCATGTCATGTCCTGCACAACAATTTTCTTACTTTGTTGGAGGCGTCTCCTCCAAAGCTTTTTTCAGTTTCAACCAATCGTAGGAGCCTATTGCATCATGTGACACATCCAGGTACGTGATTGTGCGCAGTGAAGCCGGTACGTCACATTCCTGGAGCATGATGGGAATAACGCGCCCGGTCTTGGACTTGAGACTTTCTACCAAGGCCTGTTCTGTCTCGTACTTACACCATTCACTGGTCACGAAGTTTGGCGTGAGGATCAACAGGGTCTTGTAGCTGTTCTCGATGCTGTACATGATGTTGTCGAACACGCTCTTCCCGGGCACGAAGTCTCGGTCAGCTACGCAACCTAGGAAATTACGTCGACATTAGTCATTAATGTTTATTCAGCTAGCTTAATCGATATGTTAAACTATGAGGCCCAATTGTTAGCTTTTCCCACGCCTGTGCATTTATCAGTGACCGATCATAACCCCTTGTGTCAACAGTTATTATGTTAACCGTCACAGAAGGAAAACATCCTGTTGAAATCCTAAAAAAGGAGGGATTGAGATTTAAAATGCATGTATAAAATGTTGTATACTAATACATGATGTTCCACAATGAAAAACAATAAAAGACAAAAGGATAACCAAGTTGAGATAACTGCACACCTTTAAACCGCAAGTCCACCTCCATCGCTGGTAGAAGTGCGAAGTCCACCCAGTCGGCGTCTTTGCTGCTGTGTGACACGAAGAAGTCGTACTGGAACTCATGGCCATGCCGCGGTTTCTTTACCGAAACTGGGATGTTCACGCGTATTTCTGGCTTGGATTGCGTGGAGGTCATGCCATCTGCTCCAGATACTCTCGATGTATCACCATCTACACCCAGAATTTTTCTTTCCATAGATGCCGCCATTGTGCGGTGTCTCAAGTGCTTGTGTGTTCGAAAACATTGGAGACAAAGCTTGGCAAGCATGGGTTTGTCATGGTCAAGAAGATGCTGACATACCTGTATCATTTGACTTCCGAACTTGAAGACGCAACCTTGAAGGATTTTCGTGATCTCCGGGTACTTCTTGGAGCCTTCGTTGATCCAGAAAGCTAATTCGGCGATGTAATGCTCACTACTGTGGTCTTCCAATCGATGGAGTTTCAGTAGGTTTCTCAGCACGCCGGTAAGGTTCCAGTTGAAGGTAGCTTCCTCGTTTTCAACTGCGCGCTTATAAGACTCTGCTGCCTTCTCGTGTTCTCCTGCAACTTCAAGGCTCCAGCCTCTGGCTGAATGTATCTTGGAATAGGCGAAACCATCCTCTAACTGTAGTGCTTGGGCGAAGCTGTCAAGTGCATCGTCTAATTCATCCTTGTCCTTCACTTCTCCTGTTATAGGATGGATAGCTAGCCTGTGGGAGACTTTACCAAGGTGGTAGACATTGAATGGCGTCATTGCACCCTTGCAGGATACCACTGCGTCTTGTTTGGCCCTTTGCAGTAAGTCTTTAGAGGGTAGTTGCAATACCTCTTCTTTCCGGACCTGGTTTACGAGTTGATCGTACTCTAGCATGTTAACAAGTGACCTTTCGTAATATGCAAACCAATTACTTATACTGTCAGGCATTATGTCTATTGATTTGTCGAACATATCTCGAGCTTTGTTGTACATGCTAATTTGCATGTAGCCCGTCCCGAATCTACGGTAGATCTCACTGTCATCTGGGTTGATTTCCAGCGCTTTTCCAAAGCAACCAAACTGTGGACCGATTTGGCTTTCTTCTATTAGGGAAACTTCTTCCTTAACGTAGTCTGGGGTTTCATAGCTTTCAAATTTATCTGTGCACTTATGAACCAGAGCTCCCAAAAGAGCCCATGCTTTAGCGATATAAGACTCACTGTGCTTCCAACTGGGATTCATCTGGGTTACCTCTATCAACAGGCTTTGTGCTTTAAGTAGCCCTTCCTTCCTGTCGTCTTCAGTCAGTTGCGGTTTAACCTGCCCATGACGCGTATGCATAACCTGATCGAAGCGCCAGTAGCAGATACTCAAGTAGTATTTCCAAACAAGACACTCGTTAGTCAACGTCTCAGTGTCGCACACCAAGCTTAAGGCTGTTTCCAACAGACTGATTGCATGTCTCACCTTCGAGACCATGTCTTTGCTGTCGTCCCTTACATCAAATGTAAGAGCATAGGCCTGCTCCGCAAAACAGCGAGCGTTTCTTGCTCTGGACGCACGGGCTTCGTCTGACAACAGTTCCTGTAGTCGATCCCTACACGCCATCTCATCCTTTGCTCTCATCAGTTGGCTGTATATGAACTGTTTGTTGGCGATAGCGTTGAGGTTGTTCTCATCCTTCTCAGTGAGTTTCTCCAGCAGTTTCCGGGCCTCGCCTTTACCGTGTACTTTGTGGAACGCAAAAACACTCAGTAGGTTTGTCATGGCACTCTCCATCGGCCCCTTTTCCCGTTCCAATCTTCTCTTGAGCTCGTCATACCACGGCGTAACATCCTTCGTGTCCTTGATGAACAAGTCAAGGTGAAAGAAGCCAGGTGTGGGGACTCTAGCAAGAAGTCCCCCGGCAGCCATGTTTGCAGGTGTCCAGACTAGACGTTATCAAACTGTGTCGAGACTTTAACCTCTCCACTCAGATTGAGTAAACTGACAACGGTCGTTTGGGTCAACTTCCTGAAAAAACTTGTGACTACCTGGGCAAACCATGACGTCACTGCTATTGAGCTGATGTAGTTCAACTTTCCATGTGAGTACATTCAGAAAGGTGGTTGCTCTTGGAAGGTTTGTATCAATCAAATTTCTTTGCATCAGCATCGCAATGGTGAATGCTAGATCTATTAAATATTGTTAGTGTTAGTATCAAAAGCGTCACGTGGCCTTGCCTTAACAACTTTTGCACGATTGAGGATCATCTCCTTAATTATCCTTTTAATTGCAAAATTATGCCCAATTCATTGTATGTACAGTGTCAAAGGCAGCTCAACGTTAAGTACAATGTAATACATAATACTACTCCCCTGGCCAGTTTTAGGACAATTTATACTATATATTCAGCCTGCAAAGGAGTCTGGTGGAGACTACACAAACGCGGGGAAAGACACTTGATTTCGTAGGCAGACAGCATAACAGACCCAGGTGCGACTTTTTCTCTCCAGGGACAGTTTACGAGTAAACTTCCTTCGTTTCTCATTCTTGACTTGATCGGATAATTTGCTGTCCTAGGATCTGCCCCAGAGCGTCGGTATTTGACCGCAGTCCTACCAAACACCCGGTCTGAGACGGGTCGGACATTTGGTAGCTTCTTGAAGAATAGTCACCATGCGGTGAGTACGACTGGGTATTTATTGGAATGTTTGGAATGTACACGGCTCTCACAAAACAGGTGGTTGTGAATAAGATCTGCGGGGTATTTGGTCAGTTAGAACTATGGTTGGTGGTGCAAAAAATGGACGGTGAGCTCACCCAAGTGGCTGGCACACACTGCCTCAGAGTGGGACTGAGAAAAAGCTGATTTAAGAAGTTAGATATTCTTTTTGCACATGCCAATAAGCAAGTATCTCAAATGGTTCACCTTCTTACTAAGGGTGCACAGACACCCGCGATCTAGATCTGTCCAGAAAGAACTCCTGTTGATACTGTTGAACATCGCTCTGTGATTCCAGCGTAATACATTTCGAAATAAGTGACCTAAGATTAACTTGAAAATCAAAGGACTTCTACGATTTTTCAGACTGTGTGACTGGTCCTTGATATGCTTTTTGTGTGATTTTCTTAGGCGAACTTATTTTATTTTAGGAACCTTTTTAACGCTTTGTACTTTGTATGTATGTCAGTACAGTAGATTTATGTAGATATGGTGCGTGATTATCAAGTTTACCATGAATGCATTTGGTCTGGAGTTACCCTGAATTTGCAACAAATGTTAGGGTATGCAATTATGTCGAAGTGACTATAGGTAAAAATCTGAAAACATTTACTACAAAATGACAGCAATATTCTTTTTGGACAAGTCAAGCTCTCTACCCTGGGTGCCACCCTATATGCTACGGAGCTCCTTGCACCCGCTGGTCCGTAGAAAATCGGATGGCACCCAGACAACATAGTCATGCTTGACTTGATGGGATGATTTGCTATCGTATGATCAGCCTTATCTATCTTAGTGCAGTGTAGAGAATTCAGATAACCTGAATAATAGTGAAAGTGTGGTGACCCTGTCCTCACGTCATCGCGAAAAACCGGAAGTTCTGCTGCAGTACCAAGGTCATCCACCAGGAGGCCCATATTTGACCTTGACCTTTGTCTTCCTAAGACACGCCAAAAACAGACACGCCAAAAACAATACCTCCATTTTTCATGGAGGTAATAAAAACAGACCAAGGCATCCTATGATAGCCCCAAATAGCATGATAGGAGCCATGACGTCAACATACCAGGGTAGTTTGTACCTTTACAGTTTAACCCAACTACTGCATTCTTTTGATAGATGAAAAAACTGTAACAACTCTAAAGAGAAGGGACCTCCTTTAACTGTTGGGAGTTGATTCAGAGGTTTAAAAAGTTTTTTTTTCTTTCTTTTTTGCAAATCAGACAAAAATGAAGCAGGCGAATCCATGAACCAACAAATTGTGGCCTAAAGACAGTATGAAATTGGCCGGGCAGTATCCATTTGCCAGGCAGTTAATTACTATATATATTTTGGCTGAATATAAAGAGAGCCTAATACAAGTACATTGTACTTGAAAAGACCAAAATGATAAGCCAAAGCCTAATAAAACCTGTGTTTGGAGAGTACAATTTCTAATCTTTCCAGCTGCTTCTGAAGCTTACCCTGAAGCCACTGGTAGAGGCGAAAGGTGACAAGATTAGGAAAAGAATCCAGATGGAAGAGCTGAATCTGATGCAATTCCTTGTCAAAGAGAAAGAGGTCCTCACTACAATGCATACTAGTACTTTGTGCTCATGAGTTTTTTCCTTACATTGCGACCCATGCATTAATGCCTGTTTTTCATGACCGATTTCCTAATATTCCTACACTAAATCTATTGATTTCAGTCATTCTATCCTGAGCACACTTACTGTACAATCTCATTAAAAAATTGCCAACGACTTCTAAACACACAATCCCTTTTAATGGCAATTAGAAATTGCACCTAGTGGCTACCCACAACAGGCCCTCCCGCGTTGCAAAACCGAGACCGCATTACACAAAACACGGGACTGTCCACATCTGACTTAGCGCGCAGCTGCTGACAATTATGTCCTAACATCTTCAGTTACAAACAAGCTTTCACCGCTTTGACGTTTTAGACCCATTGGGTTGGCTATCATGATAAAATAAAAAGAAAATTCTCACCAATAAAAACACACTTTCATACAGCCGTTTAATTTTTGACTTGGTACTCTTTTAGGGGGGTACACTCGGAGTAATACATGAATGAGACTTTAGATTACCATACATATCTGTTGTATACTTACAATTGTTTTGAGATGATCCAGTAAGTCTGTATGCTGCTGAGTTGTGAGGACCTGAGAGCGCAGAGGGATTTCTACATCCGGGACCTCATCTGGGTATCTCTCCCTGTATGTTATCTTTACATACAAGGGGCCTGAGGAATATGGTAAAAGAGAAATTTGGTTTAATAACAGTTACTGTAATCAATGAGAAGATGTAACATTACATGTCACAAAATACTTTCCACCACTCAAAAATCAAGACCATAGTATGTCCAGGTCAAAAGATACAAAAAATGGAGGTTGTGCTGCAGTATCAACGAAGGTCAGCCACCAGGAGGCCCAAAATTGACCTTGACCTTTGCCTACCCACATACCAAATACATGTGTCATTACAATCTATCCAAAGGTTCAAAAGTAATATGCTGGCTACAAATGTGCGGAAACACAAACACACAGACACACACACACACACACACACACACACACACACACATGCAGGCAGACAGACATGCCAAAAACAATACCTCCATTTTTCATGGATGTAAAAAACGGATTCCCATATAACATCAATTGTTAAACTTACCTGAAAGTTGGACATCCAAGTCCTTTAGTTTTAACATAAAACTGCATGGTGTTGTAGCAAGGTCTGGAAGTGGGGAAAAGAATATTCATATGTGCAAATATAGTTTTCAGATATCGAACATTAGGATAAAGCAATGGATAGTGACGGAATGTCCCCATGTCAACAATGAAAAAAACTTGTTGACAAGCCAATTTATCAGTAAGGCCATGTCGATTTGATTACATGGATGACATCCACGCGTGCATAAATTTTCGTCCGTTTCCCAAAAAAAATTCGACCATACTGTAACTTACAGTGTAAGTGTAAATCGTACAAAATGAGCAAATATATGTCGTATGTATACTAATGCCATAGAATACCTAATTCAATTCTGGAAAAGGAGAAAATTTGAAGAAATGAAAATGATCAAGAGTCTATTATTATTATTATTTGCTATACTTGTACCATACTCTGTGTGTTTAGTCATTTGTTCAACCTTAAACCACTTTTTTTGTCAAACTCTTTTTTTTTATTCGCACGCTCGCGTCAGTTTTGGGGTTCCCAGAGGATGTCATGATCCATATAATCAAATCAACATTGCCTTAAGTTAAATGTTAAAAGCCATGCCAGTGCCCAAAGTTGATATGATATAATCAAACAGCATTTCCAAGTATAATACTACTATTTATTAAAGTGCTTTTGAAAAGATTGACATATTGATGATACATGAGTAACTTTGGTTAGTGGACGTCGACGTGTCATACACTGTACATGTATAACAGGCTTTTCACATCCACCATGTTGGATTACAGTGTATGTCTGCTAACCATGCCAAAATGCTGCTATTTAATCAACTTACCCGCCAACACCTGGTCGCCTAGATTCATATGATAATTATTATAGCGTCAATGGGCCGTTCAAAAAAATAACTGAGGAGGGGGGGTTGAAGAGCTTGGATTTTCTACTTTTTGACTCCCCTTTCATTATTATCCAAGGGCCTTGACCCCGGGCGCCTTCATCGAGCCTCCTTCATCCTGGGGCCTTAGCCCCTTAAAAATTCTATCCAAGCGACTTGATCCCCCTAAAATTTCATCCAAATCCAGGGTTAAACCCCTTCAATCCAAATCCACACTCACTAACCCCCTAAGGTAAAATCCGGCCTCTCCAACCCCCCTTCCTCAGTTATTTTTTTGAACGGCCCAATGAAAAATGAAAAGCCTTAAAGGGGGAGGGGCGGTGTTGTTTTCCACTTCATTTGAAGCTCCTCAAACTATTTTGCTACACTCACCGGTGAAATCGTCTTCAAAAATCGCTTGTAAGGCTTCTTTTTCATCATTCTGTTCACCTTGGTAGTCCATAACGGTGTTGAAAGTGTCATATCAAAAGTATTCTCAACAGAAAATTGAATGACGATCATGATAACACTTCCATTTTAGGTTAAAGGTCAAAATTAGACAGTCCCATTCTATTTATAGGGGAGTTCTCTCGTATAATGCATGGTGGTGAGATTTCTTTTTTGTTAGGCCACACCGACTTCATTTTATGGATGACATCCCCGCGCGCATTGATTTTCACCTGGCACCCTCAAAAAGAAACAAGAATTCGGAGATCTCATACCTCCATGAAAATATATTTTTTATATAGAGAGAGTTTTTGTAAATGTTTTTTTATTTGTCTCATTGACTATGAAAATAAGGTCCTATTAGCATAATCTAGTTTAATTTATGGTTTTCTTAATTCAAATGACAATATTTTTTATGTAAAATTTCTCTTCTTTGTTGTACTTTATTTCAACATGTTCTCATTAATCATGCAAATGACCTCTACATTAACATGATATCTGCATAGTGGTGTATAAAATTCACATCATTCACCAATAAGGAGTCACAGAATATTCACATTAATTATGCAAATTAGGTCATCATTTGCATAATTGGTATGTGTTGATGTTTCCCCTGCCACAGTTTAAAGAAGAAAAAAAGATAATCCCTACCTACGGACCCTAATTTTTTTAGGACTGAAACAGGAAACACAACATTTTTCTCTAGGTCTAGCAAGAAAATATGATTTGATCCTGTCTTGTTGTTGGGATAAGTGACTGGAGGTGTGGTGGAACAGAGGCGGTGCTGAGTTGGTACGTGATAACTCGGTGGTCATAGTCTCAACTAGTTGCAAGTCTATCTCATCCAATCTTGTGCAACACATCTGTGTAAGGTGTCTGTGATGTAAAAAAAAAGCGGCTCACGTGATATCTATTGATGTTATTTAAAGGAATATTTGCTGTGCTTGGATGGCGTTCAGCACCAAGGACAGACATTGTACCATCTAGCTATATATGGTGAACAGGGACAAGACTGTTTGGCTATTTGTAGCTAAATGTGTTCAGGAACAGGAATGTTTGGCTATGTGTGGATGGCGTTCAGCACCAAGGACAGGCATTGCACTACTAATTGTTAACTGGTTAACTGTTTTCATTTTTGACATGTCCTTATATTCCCCTTCCATGAGAGTGTTGGCATCAATATTCTATCGAGATGCACGCCACAGTTTCTGTTTAAACGTCACAAACAGAAAGAAAATACAAAATGTGTGTTATATGTGTCATGGGTGTTATATTTTCAGTTGCATGATTCTGTCTGTTAGTCAACAAAATAACTCAAGAACGGCTGGATGGATTGGTTTGAACACTTGGTGTATCCGTAGGGTGTGAAAAATGTATATTAGTCAGTTTGGACGTTAACCAACAATATCATACGTTGTCCCTGCCAAATGATTAAAGATTTCACCAGTGTGTTGCATATTACTAGGTAAAGGCTATGCGAATAATTTGTTTTAAAATTTTGCTAATGTGCAGGATTGTAAATGTATTGTAGCCATTTACAGATTGCTATCAACATGCATACGATTTGCGAAAGCACTAAACAAGTCATGGAGGTATGAGATCGCCGAACTCTAGTAGAGGACCAACAGGTAGGAACTACCCATCAGGCCATGCGAACTCACAAGTCCCAGGATATCGATGGCGGCTGAACATGGAGCGGGAGAAAATTTCTGCTGAAACTTCGCCTCTGGAAGACGACAAACGTCTTGTTTAGGAGGTGAGTAGAACATAAATTTTCCTTTCTGTATCCTTGTGACCACTTTTGAGCAGTCTTTTGTTGAAAGACGCCGTAACACCACCGAAATATGACCGAGTTTTTGAGCATGTAGTTTGACCAATTTACATTGGTCTGACATAGGGCTGCGTACCTAAACGTAACATCAGGTACAGGTACAGGTACTGGTACAGAGGTTTAGGTACAGGTCCGGACCTGTACCTGTACCTGAACAATTTGACAAATTAACACGTGTTCTTCACTTTTTCAATCATGACACAGAAACAACAAGAGTTCCACGATCTCATACCTTCGCCAAATGATGTTAACCCTTGTGGTTGACAAATTATACAATTTTAATCATTGATTTTGTAAATAAGAGCCCCATTTGCATGGATTATATCAGTTGATCATATTCTCCACCCAATAACAGCCTTATCTTAACAAAAATGCTATTATAGCACTTCCTCATATATTATGCAAATTAGGCCATTATTTGAATAAATTATGTTTGTTGATGTTCACCTTCACTTAACTTCCAAATGTGGCAAGTATGAAATTCCCAGCAGTTACAACTATGAAATTATAAAAATTTGCCATTTATTATGCAAATTAGGTTCTCATTTACATAATCTATATCCTCAGATGTTTTTTTCTCGTTCTCACAAGTGATGTCATAGTTCTATTATCGAACAAAGCAGATTTATAGAATTTCCTCATTAATTATGCAAATTAGCTCCTGATTTGCATAACTGTCATCTGATCATGTCAAGCATCACTTCAACTACCTACATACCAAAAATCACGACAATCCGTCAACCGGTTCTTGAATTATCCTCCTTTGAAAAATTTTCAACAAATGCTCCTGCAGTTCCAGAACAAGCCGCTAGGGGACCCAAACTCATGTCACGTCTTCCCTATCCCAAGAGCTATCTGCCATCCAAAATTCGTGACCCTAGCATGTCTAGATCACGAGATATCAAAACCGGAAGTTCTGCTGCAGTACCTAGGAAAGCCGCCAGGGGGCCCAAAATCTAATCATTTCTAGGTCTCATGAAGACCTACCCACCTACCAAGTTTCATTCCAATCCATCCACTGCTTCTCGAGTTATCTTGCTAAACCACACACACACACACAAACACACCCACACACAGACAAACGCTACTGAAAACATAACCTTCTTGGCGAAGGTAATAATAAAGTGTTGGAGGGAAGGGAAAATGACTGACCTCTGACCTGATTTGAGTTTGTTGACCAATCACAACCCTGGATCAGCCACACTCTCGCGATGTCTCGTGAGACTGAGGATCTCAAATCAATCGACGGTGTTTACGTCTTTTCCAGTGCTAATTTTTCGTCTTTGTGGTAGGATTTACCTATCTTTAGTCATATACATGGTGTAAACTAGCTATTTCGGTATATACTCGTTACTTCATGATCCGGTATTTTGGACCTGTACCGAAACGATTTTTACGGTATTGGACCGGTACAGTGTACCGGTCCGCAGCCCTAGTCTGACATACTTAGCCGTGGCGACTCTTGATTCGGGCTTACATTGCATTACCCTCAGCAAGAGTCATGGAAAGATCCATTGGCAAAACTGCACATTTCCCGTTGGCTGTCCGACGCTCCGTTTTGGCCCCGGTTTTTTCCTGTCCCGAGCTTCCCTACAGTATAAAACCACAAATTATTGGCCGGGTTGCCGATGTTCAAATCAACCTAAATATTCCACAGCGCGACCTAAAAGTACTAAACTCTCCTAGTTTACAAACCGGGCGGCCACTGTTCCAACACTTCAGACTTCTTTGGACATGTCACTTCTCCAAACATGTAGTCACCACACTCTGCTACCCAAACACTTACTTCATCAAGTGTAGTTTTTCAGTCACATTAGACTTTAGAATGATCTCTTGCTGTCTTAGCCGGTCAATGCACTAAGTGTACTCCCCAGGGGATGTCTTTTTGGTAGACATTGATGCTTCGAAACATCAGTATACCAGTGCAATTGACTCGGCAGGAGAGCAAGAGATCATTCTAAAGTCTAATGTGACTGAAAAGCTACACTTGATGAAGTAAGTATTTGGGAAGTATGCAACAGTCTGACACTTAGTTTGATATTTTTGTCTTTATTTCTTTACAGACAAAAGGTCGAGCTCCTGCTCGGAGGCGCACATGTGGCAAACGGATTCGTCATACAAGACCCTTATGGTAAGAAGACTTGTGTTCGTAAAAAGTCCATCTCATGGCATTACGTCATGTGGTTGATTTTTAAAGACATAATGTGTTTTCATTGAGATAGATTACCTGCAAAGTTTATTTCCACGTACAATAAGTTAACTTGAATCTTCAATTGAACTTCGGACACAACTGACAACGAGGCCGCGGTGGAGGTATGCCTGACAGATCATACCACCGTGACCACGGCCGAGGCCCAAAACTTCAGTTGAAGGAGGAGTTTGTCTCCACCTGGAGCCGAGAGGGTACAGGCAGAAAACCCCTCAAGGACTGCATGGTAAGTTAGGCCACACCAAGTAAATTTTATGGATGACGTCCGCGCGCGCATTGATTTTGAACGGTTCCTAGAAAAAACAAGTAATTCCGCTTCCTGTAACTATGACCAAAGAGTCACGACAGTGCCGCAATTTTATGCTTTGTTTCTGCAGGCCTGCAAAAAATGTGATGAAAGAAACAGGACAGGACGACAACTGTTGTTCCACCTGATTTATTGCTGTTTTGATGATGAATAAAAGACTTCTTGCTTGTTAATCTGTGTCACCTCATTCAATTTGTGTCCTAACATTTGTCGTCTCTTAGTATATTTCTAATCTAGGCATCTTGTTTTTTAGCGCCCTTCTTGTTTTTTTTTTTCGCCCTCTCGCATTAGATATAGGGTCTCCAAAGGACGTCATCCATAAAATTTACTTGGTGTGGCCTTATCTCTGTTCACATCGGTAGCGCTATCATATGACAAAAATGACCATACTCTGACAAAGCAGTTCCATTGGTAACCAGGGAATTTTGGGGGGCTTGTTTCCACGTTACAAATGCTAATATTTACTAACTTAAAAAGACTACAATATGATAGGGCTGGATGAAAAGTGGCATGAAAATTGTTTTTAATTCTCAGAGATTTTAGGTTAGAAAGACATTATGTATTTACCTAATTTGCACGACGCATACAAATGTACTAGAATTGGTAAAAGAAATTGGCATATTTTTGTTTTATCTGGTAAAGTAAACACTGACTCATACCAATTGCAAGGGCATAGTGTCATTGTTCCTACCTAGTTGCTGTTGTTAAATTGTTACCCAGCCAGTGTAGTTGTATTGAGTCAAAGCTAATGTTTATAGGCTCATAAGGTCGTCACGTGGGCAAAGGAAGACATCCGCGTGAAGGAGAGCAGGCGCAGGAGGCCGAAGCAGAGCGCGCATCCAGCTGCAGGGCGCGGCCAGAAGAAAACTCAACGGGCCACAGCGCTGGACAAGCCGGCATCGCAGCCACCGGCGAAGAGGCAGACCACCCAGTACCCACCCAGACCCCTTCAGGTCAAAGACTTAGTAGCTGTCGCATTCAAAGAGTCTTTGTACCTAGGATATGTGACTAAGGTAGTGGAAGGCGGAAACGCAAAAGTCTCCTTCCTGGACTATGTGTCGGGTGGGTTGTACATGTACAAACGATTCAGTAGTCCACGGATCGAAACTGTAGATAAGAGATTTGTTTTGGAGGTAAACTTCCCTGTCGACAAGTTGAGAGGAGACAAGATTCGCCTTGTTGACAGGGAAGCCCTGGTCAAGCACTACTCTAAGTATGTAAGGGAGTATGGGCTGTAATTATGCTGATTATTTTTTACAAAATATTTATACTCAAACAAACAACAAAAGTTCAGCTATGCTGGGGAGCTTTCGAGACGTACTCTGTCTCTTCATCAACCCGATTCAGATCTCGTCTTAGAGTTCTCCTGTCACGTGACTTGATGGGATAATTTATTTTTGTAGTAATTTAAATTTTATTTACTTATTTATTGTGTTCCCGTCCCCCCCCCCCCTCAACTGAACCTCTGGGAAGAGCGGCTAAGGCCGACAGGGCATTTCCAGTATGAATAAAGGTTATTGATTGATTGATAATCACGTGACAAGAGACAGTCATATACAGGTTTTAGGTAGTGACGCCCCCTGTCCCTGTTTAAGGTACTGTGTTGTCGGCGGATCTGGATTGCCTCCCGGACACCCCTTGCAAACCAATCGGAATCTTGATCCAGTACTTTCTGTATGCTGATTATTTGTTTTCAAGGAAGTCAGACTAGGATTTCTATGAGTCTGTGACTACAGATACAAGCGAAATTTTCTTTTAAAAACAGTGTTTATCCCAGTAAAAGCCAGTGGATCCACCAAACAAACCTGTAGGATAATGATTATGGACAGGAGGTTGTTTGTTTGTTTGTTTATCATCCACACACAGCTAGATATAGCTGTCTTTAGCGCCGAACATCCAAACAGGAAAAAACGCTAACCTGTCCCTGGTGCTGAACGGCATCCACATATACACAGGAAAACACACCTAGCCTTTCTTTAGCGCTGAACAACGTCCACACACAGGAAAACACACCTGTAACAAACACACATGTCCTTGTTGCTGAGTACAGGTTAATGTCCCTGTCCTTGGTGCTGAACGCCATCCACACACAGGAAAACACACATGCCCTGTCCTTGGTGCTGAACGCCATCCATACACAGGAAAACACACATGCCCTGTCCTTGGTGCTGAACGCCATCCATACACAGGAAAACACACATGCCCTGTCCTTGGTGCTGAACGCCATCCCGCATACACAGGAAAGTACACCTACCCTGTCCTTGGTGCTGAGCGCTATTCTCTTACTCTAAATGAAACACAATCATTCGCCACAAAATGAAATTTTTGTGCCCATTGGAGGCAAATTTGATTAACATAAAAGGACAAAAACGAGGATAAAAGAGCAATACAGTATAGCATTAGTCACAAAACAATCTTTTTGGAAATAGACGAAAATTGATGCACGCGAAGATGTCATCCATATAATAATGTCAGTATGGCATAAACACCATGAAAGTGGGATTTACCGATGAGGGTTAGTCTGGTTTAGGCGGTAGACAAATCTCATAGTTATCATAGTAAATCCCACTTTATTTTATACACATACCGCAATGTTACCAATATCGCTTCACAAATCGCACCCCGTACAGAAATCGTCAGCAGATATACAAATGCATATGGCAGGGACAAAATCGTGTAACGCTAGTAGCTTAAGTAACACCTGGAGCTCAAAACTACACCCAAATCCAGGATTTACCATAAAGCAACAATTTTCATCTGCCCAAACAATATTTGGCGATATAAACCAGGAAGTCTGGTAATCTTAGCCTAAACCATCAAATACCGAGAGCGAATTCCTTGCAGTAACGAAGTCCAATAAAAACAACTATACCCTTAAAGATGCTAGGATTTGAAAAGCAGGAATTTGACACTGACTGAGTATTAATTGTTTGAGACTGGCAGGTGTCCTCAGAACGACCGCCATGCGTGCTAACAACTGATCCTTGCCTATCTTTCCATGATGGAGAGAAATTTTACAGTTTCCTATGTTTGCATTTATATGTCTCTTTCGGACATATAATGTGTTTCGACGAGTACGTTATTAAAGGGGTAATGACCCACCCCGAGGTGAATATGGTGTGATAAAGCCTTGTCAGTTGCTATAACCACCTCATAAGCCCACCTCGTTCGCTGCGCTCACTCGGTCGCTTTATTCGGTGGTTAACTGACAAGGCTTTATCACACCATATTCACCTCGGGGTGGGTCATTACCCCTTTAATAACGTACTCGTCGAAACACATTATATGTCCGAAAGAGACATATAAATGCAAACATATGTTGTCGTAGACTGAGGAAACAGGAATCAATTTGATCTCCATATCAATGAGCATGAAAGGTTTGTCGAATCAGTACCGAACCACTTTGATCAGCAGGGATTTGACTTTTAACCAGACAGCCACTCATCATCAACTTTCCCTGACCGTCTGAGACAGATATATTGGGGAGATATATTTTACGACCGTGGGATCTTCAACAACCTGTGTGTCATCCCGAAGGCTATTTTTCCGAGACAAGACTGCTAAGTATCTGTCGACATGGCAAGTTGTTAAATCACTGCCAAAATCCTTTTGATATTTGATGGAACTAATTACCTGAAAATTTCAGGCGCCTTCCATCAAACAGTCGCACTGACTGTCTATTGTTTCAGACTGACAGATGCCCAGGGAACCTTTGGGCGTGCGTGAGAACTTTGAAACTATGATCTTGTTCAGACGGAGAGGGTATGAAATATGCAATAACGTACTAGTTGAAACAACTTGTCTGCTCGAAAAAGACTTATGAATGCAAACATGTGTTGTTGTAGGCTGAGGAAACATGGAACACTTTGATCTTTATATCAATGACCAGGAAATGTTTGTTGAATCCATGCCGAAACCCCTTTGATCCGAAGAGATTTGACTTTTTGAACCTGAAACCCACCCGTCATCAAGATGTACTGACTGTCTATTGTCTTGAGATGGCAGACAGCTTGGGGATTTATGTTAGGACCGTGGGAGCTTCAACCACCTATGTGTCGTGACGAAGGCTATTTCAAGACCGTGGGAGAGCCACGTACCTGTCTCTGCCATCCCGGAGGGCATTAACGCGATCGCAAAGAGCGACGTCATCTTTGACCAATGGGAGTTTGCTACGCTTTGCCACTCCCATTCAAAAAAGGGCGTTTTTGTACGCAATACAGAACTGTGCATAAAAAGTGGCCAGAGCAACTCGCCCTTCATTGGGCGGAACAGTTCTGTACCAAGACAGGACCGTGCGGTGTCTGTTCATTGTCACAGGTAAGGATTTTTTCAGAGTTAAAACTTTTAAGGCATGTCTATTTCTTGTTAGATATTTATACCCCAAATTCCCGATTTCTATATTTTTCGACGACTAGGAATAAGATCAAAAATCGTGTTTTAGGAATTTTTAATTTCTGATTTTAAGTCTATATTGGTGAAAAAATTGCACTTTTTTACCTTTTCGCACTAAATTACCCATAATTCAAAATTTAGGCGATTTTTCAAAAATCCCTAAAACACGATTTTCGGGACAACCGTTACGGTCATTTTGAGCCGTGAAATGGGTATGTTTGACTCTCCATGCTTGCAGGTTTAACGAGTTTTGCAAACATGTCATGTCGACCAAAAGTCTGCATTGTGTTATTCATACTGGCGTAAAGAATCATTACAGTATTCAAGGTCACCCAAGGATACAACAGTAGCTTCGCTACATGTTACATGTCCACAGAAAATGATAGCGGACATGTACTGTCCAGGAAACTGTATCTATAGAAAAGTGTTGTTTTTTTTATCTGTTACAAGGCACGAAGGCAGAAAGGCTTGTTTTGCCGCTTTATTGTAAATGACCGCAGGTGACCCCGAAATGGAACGCGGGTTCGATTCGAATTGCCCAGATCGAACACAGTTCGGGTTCTGTGAAATGTGGGAACTTTGCAGCCTAGATTTTACCACCGTGTTGCAGCCTAGATTTTACCACCAGCGAGCGCCCTAGGCGCGAGGCGAGCGCCGAAGGCGCGAGGTTCCTAGAGGCCCGGGGGCATGCTCCCCGGGGAAATTTTGAAAAATGAACCTTCAAAAATGGCATTCCCTGCGTTTTTGAGAGGATTTCAGAGAAATAATCAGAGATAACTTTCTATTCAATGACATTGTTTTAAGTAGGCAGTTTTTATACAATTCCAGGCCCGCCGATGGTACGAATCAGTCCATCGAAAGAGAAATCTTGGACTTTTAGCCTTCTTCCGAACCCCCTGGCTACGGGCATGGTTAGAGTGCCGCCAGGGTGTGGATCGAATGTTGGCCGTTATCCGGGCGGGCTACGGGCAACCGCTTTACGCGCGCTTTTCTGGTTCGATCTTAGTTGTAATAGACTACACGAAAGGCCATGTACTTTGTACTGCACTCATATACCTAGTACGTACCTCTTCAGTGGCCGCTCTGCCAACAATTCGCGGTATTTTTCATGGTTACTTGTATCTGTATAAGTCCAATAACCAACTTTAATCCACACTTTAAACAGAGATGGACGAGAAAATGTGGACATCTGTCGAGATGTCAAGTTCTTAAATCACTGCCAAAACTCCTTTGATCTGTGATGATCAGGAAGTGACCTGAAGATTTCAGGCCAGTCACATAAAGTTGCACTGTCTATTGTCTGAGCCTGACAGATGCCTGGGGGATCGGTCGCGTGTGCGTGGGAACTTTACCAACTGAAGATAAACTGAATTGGACAAATCTGCACTCCTATGATGACCAAATATTCCCCTTTGGGGCCATTGTCTTTTTTTCAATCCACCTCAGTGTCTTGTAAAGACTAACAGGGGACTCTTTCTCTCACCCAGGGAAACATGGCAAGTGTGTGTTGAGACTTCTTACTTAAATAGCACAAAAAGCACAAAAGCACAAAAAGTTGACAAAGTATAACGCTATATATAGAATAATACACGGGGTATTCCGTATCGCCCGAGGTACCAGC